CAGTGCAGGAAGGTTCCCGTTTCTCCACATCCTCGCCAGCAGCTGTAGTTTCCTGATTTGTTCATTTTAGCCACTCTGACCCATGTGAGGTGATATCTCAGTGTGGCTCTGATTTGTATTTCCCTGATGATGAGTGATGTTGAGCATCTTTTCATGTGTCTGTTGGCCATCCGGATGTCTTCTTTGGAAAATTGTCTATTCATGTCTTCTGCCCATTTCTTCACTGGATTATTTGTTTTTCTGGTGTTGAGTTTGGTTAAGTTCTTTATAGATTTGGGATACTAACCCTGTATCCAGATACGTCATTTGCAAATATCTTTTTCTGGGGTCTCTTTTATAAGGATGCTAATCCCATTCATCAGGGCACATGGCTCTGTCCTGATGACCTGATCACCTCCCAAAGACCCCACTTCTAAATACCATCACATTGAGGATTAGATTTCCACACATGAATTTTGAGAGGACACAAACATTCTGTCTATAGCAATTGGCTAGAACCAGCCGTGTGTTAGAATTGGCTTTTATTAGCTCAGAAGAGCCAACTGCTAAATTTTCAGGAAACTTGGTAATACTCAAAATGCACCACTTTCTAATTATTTTCCTACACCTGGCTAGATCTATGTTCTTGATGTTGTGTTGGCATGGTGGAAATACTATAAAATGGCATGCTACTGCACTTCTCCAAGCTCCACGTTCAATACTGTCTCACTGGTAGGGCGCCTGAGTGGCTCAGTCCGTTAAGTGTCCAACTCCTGATTTTGGCTCAGGTCACCATCTCACGGTTCATGACGTCAAGGCACATGTCGGGCTCCATGCTGACAATACGGAGTCTGCTTAGGATTTTTCCTCTCCCTCTGCCCCTTTTCCACACATGCACGTTCTCTCTCTTCCTCTCAAAATAAGTAATAACGTCTCATTGGTAACTTGAAATTGGCTATGGTAGAAGTAGTGACATCATGGAAATCAGCAAACTTTCTACAAATCAAGGATTTTTTTTTTAACTGGAAGGCACATTGTTCAACTTTATTGGTGAGAACTCCACACACCTGTCAGAATGGCTAAAATTAACAACTCAGGCAACAACAGATGTTGGCTGAAGTTTGAGGTGTTCAAGAAAGCCGGTGTAACTAAAGGATAGCAGGCAAGGCGGGGAGTAGTATAAAATGTGATTGGAGAGAAAGCAGGTGCCAAATCATTTGGGGTTTGTAATCAGGCTAAGGAATTTTGATTTTATGTAAGTGCAAGGAAATGCCATTAGAGGGCTTCAAGCAGATACGGAGTGGGATGAGATGGGGGTGTGTCCTCATTATTTAGAGTTTTCAAATATCACACTAACTGTTATGTGAAGAATGGCTTTGAAGTGTTTAAGAAAAGAAGCAGAGAAACTATTGTCACAGTCCCCGAGAGGACAATGGTAGTTTGGGAGAGGGTACTAGTCGTACAGATAGTGAGTAGTGAACACAGGAGGTATTCTGAATGAAGGACTGACAGTATCTATTGATATATTGACATTAGGATGACAGGGCAATGGCACCAGGATAGATCTTGGGTTTTAGCTTTAGCCACTGAGTAAATGGGAGTGACATTTACTGAGATGCAGAAACTGTGGACGAAGCAGGCTTAGAGGATGGTGAATCTGGGGATCAGAAAACATTTATTTAAATCGGACATGATCTGCAATTGTTGAGAAAGACGTGCCAAAGAAAAGAATCAGAACAATCTGGAAGTTAAAGGGCAGGTTAAATGACAGGTTTCAGATTTACAATTTCTTTTCCTTTCACCAATCAATTCAGCTTGATTGTATTAAGGACCTTTGATCCAGTAAAAAAAGATCAAACTTTAATGCAAATCAGTCTTACTGATTACTGTTGTCTATCTCTGGGGTTAAAGATAAACCAGGGATCAATAGCCCTGTATCTGTAAACTTAGAGAGGTCAAAGGAAAAAATCAGGAGTGAGAATGAAGGAGACAAGGCAGACCAAAAATCAAGTACACAGAGGTAACATATTAAGCCCTAATGGTCTCTCACTCTGTCGACGATACGAAGCTGTTTCTTTAATGCCACATATAACATGCTTAAGTGACTCACAGTATTTTACACCAAGTGGTGACTGAAATGTTAGCTCTCATCCTCTAATCCCATTAGTTTAGGAAAAGTATAATGAAAAATCGATAGCCTTTGGAGCTAAATGAACCTATATTTAAAAGCAGGCCCACCACTCAGTAGCTCTGTGACCTTGAGCAAATTACTTACCATTTCTAATCCTCAGTTTCTTAAATGTAAATGAAAATAATTAACCCAGGAATTAGCATTAGAAATAACATTCACAAAGTGCCTGCAACATGGAAAAAATGCTCCATAAACAAGAGCTACTATTATGTAAAAGACACCTAATTCATCAATGCTCAAGGCAGTTAGCTTCCTCCTTTGGCCTCACAGATTCCTGTTTCCAGGAGAGAAGACTCAAGAGGAGGGAATCACAGAAAAGCCAATTTAATTTTCTCCAGGTAACACAGAAAGAAGGAAAGCAGAAAAATATGTCAATAGGTATATATGACATCGTCAATCTGCTACCCATAAATAGACAGTTTCAAAGGTTTTATTATAATTCAGTTGTTTAGAACTAGGAGCATATTTTCCTGTGGAATCAATGTTTAATTCAACTCTTAAATGAATTCACCAAAGCCCATCAAAATCATAATGTAGTTAAAGTGTGATAGATCTCAATAAAATGAGTAGAAAACAAAACTGATGAATCACCAAAAAATACAAAATACTGAGAGTGGAATAATATTTAATTTCATTTCATTTATTTTAGAAGCTGGCACTTCAGGGAAACAGTTTTATGGGAGGTTTCTGTGGTGATTCAGGGGGGTTTTCAGGGAAATTCCAAGAGCTTTATAATAGGCTGATGACCCTGGTTCTTTATTATGTTTTATTTCACCTCAAATTTTATGGCTTCCCTTTCTTTCAGCATAAGCAAAACACTAGCACTGTTAGACTTCACAGCCATGATTGCGATCATTTATTTCACAAATGAGAAGGTATAACTGGAGAAGAATGAGAAGATAGGAAAGAGGAAGGAGTCATAAAGGTTGCGCCTAAATATAAAGAAAAGAGCCTGCGATGGAATTCGGTAACTCCTTAGCTCAAAGGGGAGCAAAGCACAGCATTAAAATACTGAGGAAAGCCAGGTGATGAGAACTGTTCAGAGTCCCACTATGATTAACTGATTATTTTAAAGGTCACAGATTATTTGGGGGAAAAAAAGAAAGAAAACATAAAGGACAAGACATGAAAAAGCAAGCAAAGCCATTTGCAGCCTGCCATTTACACAAAGGAAATGCTTAAGAGGTGAAGATTCATAATTCGAAATAAAGCATGCCAATATAATTCAAGATTTTCTTCCAATCCCTTTCATTTCTCTAAATTTATCCAAATATTCTGTCCTTTTTATGTAGATACTATTGTGTTAACAGTACTAGTCTATCTTATTCTGTAGTTAATAACAATACCACCTAAACTAGAAAGATGACTTCTTAAATCTACACGTATACAGTAGAATGAAGTGAAATTACTTTAGAAGAAAGTCTCCTCAAAATCCAGTAGGTATATGCTACCTGCCTCTTAGGCTGTGAGGAATGACAGTGATTTCAAACTTCAGAGAGACGCTTTTGATTTTCTCAAAGAAATAAACCACGAATCAGTTCCATGCAGTCCAACTTATTCAGCAATCCAGCAAATCTTCCTGTGAAGTACTGAAATGTTTTTTTGAAAATGTTGATGTGTCAGAAGAAATGATTAAGGAAGAGATGTTATAGTCAGATAAAATAAGATTTTCTAAGACTGGGTCTTAAATCCAAATCTGTATCAGTAGCAGCTATGTTTGCAAAACAAATAAACAACGAAACACACTTAACCATGAGCCAAACCAAAATAATTTAGCCAGACCCAACCAGAAACAGGGACACAACAAGCCAACAACTTTCCAGATCACTAAAGAACTGTTCAGCTAGCCTGAGCCAATTGTAAAGAATGTATTTACTAATGCAATCAATTACTTTCAGAAATAAGATGTATACACCATGTATCACAACTCTGTAAATGTTGCCAAATCAAATGTTCTCTCAGTGGATAAAACAATTCCAAACAGTGGATCTTAATGACAAAACAGGACCAAAGAAATGTTAATGCGGGATGCTGAAAAGTTTGGCCCCATCCATGTAGGAATGCTAAGAAGGTGAGATTTCCTGACTGCTGAGCATTGTCAGATTTCTCTCACAAACCTACAAAGTTCTGTCAAATGTATACAAATACTAATTTGATTAACACAACTGTAAAGTAACTGGATACCACCACTAATCCATGATAACAATTTGTCCTCACCTATTTTTTTAATTGGCAGATACTGAAAATATAACAGTTGTCATGAGCAATAAAGGAATATTTTTTTAAATAAGAAGTTGATAAGCCCTGCCCTAAGTATAATTGTACCTAAAACAATCAAGTAACACAGTCATGAAAATGTCCTTCAGTTTTACCGTTTACTCCAATTTAGAATATCCAGTTCTGATTTCTCAAATTCTGTTTCCTAGCAAGATTATTAAAACATCTTAGGACAAGGTAAAAACTTGAAGAGCCTTGTCAAATGTGAAATCTTCATTTTAATCATTTATGTCTTTAACTTTAATAGGTTGTATTCAGCTAAATACATAAAATTTACATTATATCCAATCTCAAGAGTTAAGACAATTCCTTCTTTTAATTAGCCAGTGATTTCAACTTACAAAAGAGCTGTAATTAAAAAGTCAAATTACTCTTTAAAGTTCACTTTAATAATATGCTAATTCAGCAGATAAATTCTTCCAAAGGGACAAGTAATCAGAATCCTAAATGTATTAAAATATTATTTGCTCTATGGGGTTACTTATTACATGTTTACTCAACCGTATCTGCTGAAAGACACAGAAACTCTAGCAAAGTTAATTTAAGAACTTACCAATTTCCCTTGCAATTCTGACAGCTTCATCTGCATCCTGTAAAAGCAGGAAATGAGAGCCAACATTAATCCCATCAGCCATTGCACAATGTCTTTAGGGCAGTCATATATTGCACTACTGTCTCCTCTGATTCATTTAATGTTCAATTTTACAACCTTCTAACTCTTTTCTTTCAGAGAAATGTAAAATTAATACCATAAGTGGAATGTAAATTCTACCTCATCATTATTATATTAAGAAACTCAAAGCAGTTTGAAATGAGCTGGCAGGAAGCACTACCAGAATTGCCAAATGATTTGGTGCAGTTGCTGGAATTTAACAGCAGAATTTAGATGTTTACAATCAATACTGAATCATAAATCAGATCATTAAAGCTTGTCTACAACCAGCTTGTTCCTGTCCTCTGATATTTACATGTCATGTTTTCCTGGATTCTGTCAGCAGGGGGAGTTGATTCTCTATTGTTTCAGAGAGGCTCAAGATTTTCCAGAAATAAAAAAGTAAATTTCCAATATCTCCAGGAATTGTCAATTGTCTCCCCAAAAATTCCTTTAGTAGTTTCCATTACTTTTTCTTTTTTATTTCATTATTTTGTCAGGTACATATTTTATCTTTATATCTTATTAAGACAAGTAATTTAAAACTTTAAATTCCATGAACCAACTTGTGGGGGAAAACTTCAAAAAAGCCAAGGAAAGCAAATGCCTCCCAAAACAGTACAAGGTAAGAGTTGATGCATGTAAGAATTATTGCCAAATACCAACCAATGCAACTGAAAGGAAAAAAATTTCCCTTGAATCTAAACCATTTCATTGATCATTAACTTTCACCTAACACGCCCAGCACAGGACACTCCTGATACATCTCCCCATGGAAAAATAAAAAGACAGCTGAAAAGAAGGTGTTACATCCAAGCCTCCCTAGTAAATATGACTTTTCTTTACAATTCAGTGATGTAAACTAATCACAGTGATGTAAACTAATCACAAGGAATAACAGTAATGTTTTGAAACCATTAGGTAGTGAGAATGCCTGAATTTTTCAAAAATAACTTTAAAATATTAAAGTGAAGACTGGTATTTTTTAAGCTTTTAAGCTAGTAATCTAAAGGTGTAGAGTAACCATGTCAGAATTCTCCCCCAAAAGGAGGGGCGGGGGATGTTTATAACTGGTTCATTTATGTCTAATAAAAAAAAAAAATCTTCCTTAAAAGTCTTCAGTACCTAATAACATCCCCTGAATAAGGAGGTTGGCAGGGGAAGTTGTCAGAAAAATTTAATTTCCTTTCATTAGCCAGTCTGCTCCACAAATAGGTGCTTGTTAAGTTCAAAGCAGTCCTGAAAGCAACATCAGTTTTAAGTCTCTCTCTCTCTCTTTTTTTTTTACTCCAAGCAGTCACATCTGCTAATGAGATTTTCCAAATAACAATTGTTTGCAAGTCAGAGATAAATCTATACCTCCCACTCTACTCTCCCAAAAAAATCAAGGTTTACTGCTTTATTACACCTTGCTGTTTTCACTGACCCTACATTCTCCAAATTTTAGCTTAAAGGGATAAAAATCCATGAAAAGGGTCATTTAAGAATGTTAGTGGTTTCCACACATTGAGTTTGGAGGTTCTTTGTTCAAGCCAGTGACAGTTATTGGAGAATACTTCCCCTTAATAGCCTCTCTGTCAGGAAGTGTTAAAGCTGCCAAATGCGGACAATTAGTGCCTCGCGAACAAAATACAGGAAGAGTGCTGGCTGATGGAGACTGGATTATAAGAAGCCTAGAAGGAAACTTTTAACATGTCTTTTCTTTCAAATGTGTAGTAGTATATTTGCAAAAGATATTCTGAGAGAAGATAAACTGCTGTCTCAAAAGTCTGTTATCTTGAGAGAACTGACAAACAGGCAAATGTTAAAAGATAATGCACAGAATTCATTAGTGATATTTATTATGTACACATTGTAGATGTGTGTATATAAAGAGATATCTATTTACACAAAGCACAACTTATAAAAATTTTGACTGTCACAAATCCAACATTTCTATAAATAACCACAAAACAATCCTGTCTTTTAACTTAATCAGTATGTTACATTTCCTTACCATGATGTGTTATGCAATATTTGGGACCTTAAAAAAAAAAATCATTATCAGGGCACCTGAGTGGCTCAGTTGGTTAAGTGTCTGACTCTTGGTTTCAGCACAGGTCATGATCTCACAACTTGTGAGTTCAAGCCCCACATCCAGCTCTGTGCTGAGGGCACAGAGCCTGCTTGGGATTCTCTGTCCCCTTCTCTCTCTCAGCCCCTCCCCTGCTCATGCTGTTTCTCTGTCTCTCTCAACAATAAACAAACATTTAAAAAAAATCATTATCTAAGATTCAGGTTTAACTGGGCAACCTGTATTTTTATCTGACAACTCTTAAAAACAAATTTTTTTTCCTACTATGACAAGCAAATTTTACTAAATGCACTTCCAAGTAAAATCAAACTGCCTTAAAAATAAATTTTTCACTTGTCATTCATTTATCCCAAGATATTTTATTCAGGACATATTATATATATTATAAAGCTTGAAGACCTAAATCTCTCAACCCAGCAATTTCATTTTTAGGAAGCTATCCTATACACATAGGCACATGCATGCACACAGAGAGATATATAAATAAAATTATTTTTAATTTGTTGCTTGTGATTTGATAAGAAAATCAGAAAAACAATTTTAAAGGTTTTCAGTAAGGGACTGGTACCAAAAAGGATACATACATGAAATGGAATATGCCATAGTCTTTTAAAAGTTTTAAAAGATGAGGTTGATCCATATGTAATACTATGTGAAATAGTTCTTGCACCCACAGAAGAACTTAACAGACTTGTTTAATAAGGGAAACTGAAAGAGAGCAAACAAACCAACCAAGAACTGAAATAAATGGCACATGGAAACAAACAGTACTGAGGGAGATAGGGAGAACATGTTTTAGACAGACTACCCAGAAAGGGTCTTCTGGGGGTGCCTGGCTGGCTCAGTCAGTAGAACGTGTGACTCTTGATCTCGGGGTTGCGAGTTCGAGCCCCAACTCAGAGGCAGAGATTACTTAATAAATTAAAAAGAAAAAAAAAAGAATCCTTCTGAAGTGAAATATAAACTAAAGCCTGAAGAAAACAGTCGCTGCCATGGGAAGATTAGGGAAAAAGAAGTGTAGACAGAAGGAACAACATGAACAAAACCCCAAATTTGGAAGCCATTTCCTATGTTCTAGAAACCAGGTCTGTGAGGTGAAAACTGAAGACAAAAAGCAAGTGGCAGAAAAGGACAGTATAAAATCCGGTGGAAGGCATGGCCTCTCCAGCAGGACCTTTTGAGACTCAGGACACAGTTCCAAATGCCTTGGCTGTATGCCAGGGAATGAGGACTAGGGTTTAGGAAGGTAACTCTTCCACTTCAAGAATATGCCAAATATAGTGTGTGCCATGGGGGAAAGCAAGTTGTAGGATGATATATATATGACCTTATCCACATTAAGATAGAAAAATACCTTGGAATGCTCATCAAAGGTCATGTATGGACATATTCAACCACCTCAGCTTGAGTTACTGCTCAAAAATAGGATTAAGAGTTGGAGAAGAGGCAACTTTGACTTATGGCTACAGACCCTTAGGTAGATGTTTAACTTTATTACCAGTAAGATCAAAATTTCATACTTCATACCTCTTTCACAATTTAAAAATTAAACCAGCCACACTTGAAGGTGTTATTCAATCTACTTAATGATTTCCAGGACATTAAATGTTATCACAACAAACTAGTATTCCCAAAATGTGCTTAAACTTTTCATGACTCCCCACTGCCTTAGAACCAAATTTTAATTCCTTTACTTTGTGTCAGTACTTGATCCCGCCTGCCTGCGCCACCAGTCTTGTCCCCAGTCCCTCCCTACCTCTGCTTTCCTTCCCACCCCCAAGCCCACACAGGCATTCCTCCAGCTGCCTGGCCTTTACACCTCCTCCTCAGCTCATCCAGAAACCCACTACTCTTCCGCCCCCTTCCACCAATCCAACTCTTACACTATACGCCCCATACCAGGCCCTGATGACAGGAGGGAACAAGAAAGGCACCATGCCAGCCTTCATGTAATTTATAGTCTAGTGGAAAAGACAGACCCTTACATGACACACAGTGGCTAAGAAATCATTATTGAGATGCATGTTACGCAGAAGTGAAGAGGGCGTGTGACAACAGGGAATCTCTAATTTAAAAACAGAGTTCCTGGAAACTTCTCAGATACTACAACTATGAAGAGAGACCTGCAAATGAAAGAAAGGGTGGAACAGAGTCAGCGGGGCTGGGGCCTGAAGAGTAAGCCAACTGTACAAGGAAGCAGGGCTGCCACAGGCCACAATAAAGACACTGAACTTCAGCCTAAGAGCAAGAAAACCGAGTCCCCACTATGGCTGCATTCTGAAGAATCTGAGCTTATAATTTGCTCATTATTTTGAGTATTGTCTACCCTCTTCATTTCCCTACCACATTAAAGTACAACCTCCAGGAAAGCAGAAATCACTAACCGGTGCAGTAATATGTTTTAAATGCCTACAACTGCCTGACACATAGTAGTCATTCGATAAACAGCTGTTGAATAAAAAGACTATGAACACATGAATAGTTTAGAGAGAGGCAAGAGGGATGTGAGGACTTTAGTTGGGAAGCTATAGTCCAGATGAGAGAAAAACTACCACTTTCTCTCAAACACAGGGGTGCATGCTTCACACCTCACCTAAACCTCACCTTCTCTAGAAAGCCTCTCCAGCCCTTCCACACCAGGTTAGGTGCCATTGCTGTGCAACATTACACTCTGCCCTTCAATTATGACAGCCCCTATCACTTAATCTCCCTGACAGCAATGACTAGGTCTGCTTGCTCTCTATGAAATCCCCAGAGCTCAGCAAGTCAATACATCCACACGTTATTTGTTGAATGAATAAACAACTATGCATCAGCTTCCACAGAAACCAGCCTGTTGCAGTAGGTGCCAGCACCAACAGAAG